CGTGGCACGTGCCTGGAATCCCAGAGGCTTGGGAGGCTGAAGGCAAGAGAATCACCAGTTCAAAGCCAAACTCAGCAAATTAGTGAGATCCTGTCTCAGAATGAAAAACAAAAAGTGCTGGGGATGTAGTTTAGTGTTTAGTGGTTAAGTGCCCCTGGTTTCAATCCCTGGTTCAAAAAAAAAAAAATCCAGATGGTAAGAATTCAATTTTTCAAAGTTGGTTACTGAAGACTGGGATAGCACTATTTTAGGGGTATGTTATCAGGGTCTAATTAATTAATTAGTTAATTAATTTTGAGACAGGATCTTGCTGAGTTGCTTAGGGTCTCGATAAATTGCTGAGGCTGGCCTTGAACCTGTGATCTTCCTGCCTCAGCCTCTGGAGCCTCTGGGATTACAGGTATGTACCACCACACCCAGCTAGGGTCTAATTTCTTTAATGTATCAAACTGCACTGGCTTTCAGACCCCTCTCCAATATATTCTAGAGATACTTGTGAATTGATTTTTTTATTTGTTCTAATTAGTTATACATGATAGTAGCATGCAGTTTGACACATCATACATAAATGGAGTATAATTTCTCATGGTTGTACATGATGTAGAATCACACCAGTCATGCAGTCATTATGTACAGAGGGTAATAATGTCTCATTCATTCCACTATCCTTCCTACCCCCATGCCTCTCCCCTCCTTTGCCTCCCCTATACCTAATCCAAAATAACTCTATTCTTCCCTGGCTGCCCCCACATTATTGTGAATTATCATCCACATATCAGAGAAAACATTGACCTTTGGTTTTTTGGGTTGGCTTATTTCTTTAGTATGATATTCTCCAGCTCCATCCATTTACCAGCAAATGCCATAATTTCATTCTTCTTTAAGGTTGAGTAATATTCCATTGTATATACATACCACATTTTCTTTGTCCATTCATCTGTTGAAAGACACTTTTTTTTTTTGGCACTGGTGTGGAACCCAGTGTCATTCTCTCACCAAGCTATACCAACCTACCCCCTCCTTTTTTTTTTTTTTTGAGCTAAGTTCTCCCTGAGTTGGTCAGGTTGACCTCCAACTTATGATCAAACTTGGACCCTACAGCCATCAGTAACTTCATTCTAGAAACCTGTTAGCTGATGACAGCAAAATGTCTTAATGCTACCTGAATGAATATATGCATTCCCTCAAGCCCAGAGAATAGGTGTCTATGAGTAGAATCATGAACTAGGTGTGATGGCTTAATGGTTAATGCTCTAGCTTTAATCCCTGGTACCAGAAAATAGAAGTAGGATCCTGAACTATACAGTGTTTTTGACTTTTTTTTCTTTTTTTAAAGAATTGAACCCAGGGCTTTCTACCACTGATCTATATCCCCTGCCCCTTTAAACTTTTATTTTGATGTAGGGTCTCATGAGTTACTGAGGCTGGCCTCAAACTTGCAACCCTCCTGTCTGACCCTGCTAAGTCCCTGGGATTACAGGTGAGCACCACCACACCCAGCATCCTTTTAGAAATGCTGCACCAGTGCTACAAGGTGGCAGATTTTTCTTCAAGTTTTGCAACTCCTCCGAAGTTATAAAATGCCTCTGCCCACCATTTCTTCTTGTCCTCCATCGTTCAGCTGCTCATCAGTTCTCTCACTGGCACGGTTAGGATGCTGTACTACAGTGTCCTACTCCATTCTCTAATTACCCGTTGATCTTTATCCATTTCCTCAAAAGTGCCTCCAGACCCTGTAGAGCTCTCATTTCCACCTTCAGCATGATAGCCTCCCTTTAGTTATCTGTGCAGGCAGAGCACCATCTCACACATCTTGATAATAATAATTGGTCAAAAGTGTTTCCCAAGGCACAAACTGAATGACAGGAAAATAGGCTACAGCACAACACCACAGAACTCACTCAGCTGAGGAAGAGACTTCACCACTCCCACCTGCGCCAGGCCACTGTCGTCTCTCACCTGAGTTGTTGCAATAGCCTCTGAATCGGTCTCCCTACATTAGCCTGCCAATATTAGTTGATGAAGGCTCAGTTTGTCTTGGAACCTAACAGTTATTCTCCACAAACAGCCAGAGTCATCTTCAGAAACATTAGGTCACTTCACTCTTTGGCTCAAAATCCTCCAGAGGCTTAGCTTTCACTAGGAGTGAAATCTGAACTTGGCTTCATTTCCTTCAGGGTTTCACCTAAATGTCACCATAGTCAAGAGGCTTGTTCCACATAAAACAGCAATTTCCTCACCCCCTTCCTGCACCAGACTCCTAGCCCTCCCACCCTCCCCTTTTCTCCTCCGTAGAACCTATTGCCCCATCACATATATTTACTTATATAACACGTAGCAGACTATAGTTTTCAGGATGTAGATGGATTTTCCATTTCATGTACTTTTCTCAAAATGATGTGTCCACTACTCCCTTTGAGAGGGACATGGATCTCCACCCCCACCCACCCACCCCCCGACACACACACTCCAATTGAAGTGTAACTGTGGTGGAAGTGATGCTGTGTGACTTCTGAAGCTAGGTCAGAAAAAGGCGTAAATCTCTGTCTGGTCCTCTTGGAGCACGAGAACTTGGAATTCAGCCATTGTGAAAAGAGGAAGCACAGACCACATGGAGAGGCCACTTGTAAATGTTTTGGCAAACAGCCCCAGTTGTGACCCAAGCCAATAGTCAACATCAACTTCCAGACATGAAAGGAAGTTTTTGAGATGACTTCAGTACCAGTCACTGCAAAAGAGACTCCAAATGAGAGCCATCTAGCTTAGCCTTATCACTTCCCAAAATCATAATAATAAAATTATTGTTTAAGCCAGTAAGTTGGGGGCTGTTTGCTATTTGACAATAGATAATGGAATACTTTGTTTATATGTATATTTTATGTCTCTTTCTCACTAGAATATAAGATTCTCAAGTTCAGTCATTTTGTTTGTTTTTTGCTATCCCTAGAACAGTGCCTAGTACTCAATAAATACTTGATGAATGAATGAATGGATGCATGATGCATTTTCAGTATGGCATGCTAATAGTGTTTGATTAATAGAACGTGATACAGTCTGCTGGGCTAGACCTCATTGGCCGAGAGCATAACTTGGCACATAGAACATGGAAAAATATGTTGGAATATTTCAGAGATAAATAACATATATAGCATTATACGTGTTATAACCAACATAATAAATTATAATAATTACCATAAGACAGCATAAAATAAGATTGGAGTTTCATGTAGAATTTGTCTTTTGGTGTTTGATTCTATAATCTCACTATAGGCTTCTCCAGATCTGGTCTGGAAAGGTCTCCTTAGTATTTTTAGCAAGACAAGTGATTCTCCCAGTTTAAGGAAGATATTTCTAAGAATGACTCATTGTAATCACTCACTTTTGATTTTGGTTTTGGAGTGAATCTGAATGAAAATGGGTGGTGACAGTGTATGAGTATACATATGCACAAATGTGTACATGTGAACAATTTGGAATGCCTATTGTTATGAAGCCAGATTTAAAGTTAGGTAGTCAGTGTAGTTAGGTAAATCGGATCTAATATCGAGTAAGATCTAAAATAGAGGCCATGTTGAGAATGAATTTCAGAAACGCAGGACAACTCATGAAATGTTAATGAAGTCCAGGAAAAAGCCCAAGGCCAGAGCCCATCCCAAAGAAGTGTTAATGAACAGCCCCAGCAAACTTGAAGATGCTGACTCAGAAGTGCCCAGATTACTTCTTTGGCCCACCTGTATTCCACCTCTCAGGCCTTCCCACCTACATTCCATCACTGAAAGAACTATAAAAATGGGAAACAAACGCACTTCCACGGATTCCATCTCTTGGGTCCCCTTTTTCCTCCCGGAGAAGTCTTTTCGGCTGTCCTTTAATAAACTCCTAATTTCTACTCTGACCTTGCCTCGAGTGCTTCTCTGGTGTTATTCTTCAACATTGGGGAAGCATGGACTCCTCACCTGTCAACAGCGGTAACAACTACAGACTGATAGTTTGCATGGTATGTATGAAAAGAAGGAATAAATAAGACTTTGGATTTCACCATTCTTGCACCAAGTACCTTGATTTAAAATTTTGTTTGGAGCAAATATTTGTGTATTGGTAAAGAGAATATTTAAACTTTTCAGAATTTTATCATCTCAGGAAGCAGTAGAGGGCAAAATATCTTAGCTGCCTAGAAAAAAGATTAGTTTTTGCTTGGAGGAGAAATAACAGGTGGATAGTCTTGAATGAACTCATCAATTTCTTTGGGCCAATTCATCTTGGACTTGAGTGGAACGAAAGCTTGGGGATCTATGGTTTCTTGGATGGGGGTCTCTGCTGAGTCTGTTCACTATTGTTTGAAAGCAGAGCCCATCACAAGGATCGCCTTGATACGCAATTACGTGTGACTTCTTTCCAAAATCAAGAAGGGCTTGGGGGTGGGTGTGGTAAAAAGAACTTTTAAAATTTGTTCTCTTAAATAAGTCCACTGCCACAAGGCTACTTGGCCAAGTGTCTCTTGAGGAAGGGGAGTGCCATCCTGCTCCCTTTGTTCCAATGACAGTTGCCGGTGCCACTGGACTTCATCATCTGACCTGTGTCCTAAAGTTCTCTTGATAGGGTATAAGCCTTGAATGGAAAGTGGGGAGGCTCCTCAGATCCCTGTTGGAAAGTCTAAGCGAGTAAATTAGGGGATATTTTCTTTAGAAGTCCCATTTTTGTCACCAAAATTTGGACATTGCTTCTTAGGCTAATTATTTCTTCCATTAAAATATTTTTTCCCTTTATTTATTTATTTGCAGACCCAGACAAACTTGACTAGAAAAGAAGCCCGGGCCGAGGTAGGGTGCGCCCGTGACGTGTCACGGACCCCGGCCAATTGGAAGGCCACGCGAGGGGGGGGCGGAAGTGACGAGCCGTATCCCTCCGCGGCGAGAGGGCCGGTGGGGGGAGTCGGCGTCTCTCTCCCCCGCGCCAGCTCCCGTACACGGAGCCGCATTCCTTGGCCCCCCCACCCCCTCCCTCGGGGCCCCCCGCCCCCCTCGGGAAAAAATCCACCCCAAATCACTCGAACCCGAGGGAGGCTTCCTTTCACCCTCGGGGAGACGAGCTTTCCACGGTTCCCTCCTCTTCGTCTCCCCCCAAGCCCCCGTCCCCTCCCCTGCTCCCACCCCCTTCTCCCAGCGCCGGGTGCAAGGTCCCTTTAAGGCGACGGCGCCTTCCTCGGGTCAGACTACCGGCGGCGACGACCACGGGAGGTGAGTGAGCGCCGAGCCTTGGCTATCCCCACCCCCTCCTCCCGGGGGTTCCGTTATCTTTTCGCCCGGCGCGGCGTTCTGAGGCGAGACAATGAGAGGGGGATGGGCGGGCGCGCGGGTGGGGGCGGGGGTGCGGCGCGCGCCCGCCCACCGCGAGTGGCGGCGCGGCCCGTGGCAGGGGCGGCCGTGCGGTGCGGCGCGTGAGCGCGCGTGTGTGTGCGCGTGTGTGTGCGTGCGTCCCGGGTCGTGGAGCCGCGCGGCGGCCGGCGGCGGAGGCCCTTGCCTGCCGGCCGCCGGCCACCCCCGCCCCCCGGCGCCCGCCGCGGCGCGCGCGCGCGCACTCGCGCCCCACGGTCCCGCACACACCGACGTCCCCACGCACGCCCGGCGCGAGCGTCTCGGAGGAGTGGGCGGCGCGGGCGGCGGCCCGCTGGGGAGGGGCGGGGCGCGGCGGGGGCGCGGGCGGCGGCGAGACGGCGCGGCGCTGCGGGAGGGGTGGCGCGGGGCGAGGCCGCGCGGGAGGAGGGCGGCGGCCCGGTCCGGTGGGGGCTCCCGCCCCGCCCCCCTGGAAGGTGTGGGGCGCCGGTAGCGCGGGAGCGGAGTGATGGCCGGGCCGACCCCCGTTACGTAACCGCCGCCCGCGCCCCCGCCCCCCGGACTCGGCGACTGCAGCGCGTTGACAGCCTCTGGCGTCGCCCCCCTCCGGGGTCTCCGAGGACGGCGCCGTGATTTCTGAAAGGGGACGGGGCAGAGTGTCGTTATTTTCTGGTGATTATGTCCTGCCGCGGTGGCGCCATGTTTCTCCCAAGAACTATTTTCTCGAGATCCTGGCACCTACTGAAGGGAAGTCGTGTCGTGGAGCCACCTGCCTTCCTCCCTCTCCGTGCTGCCTGTAACGCGGCAGGTTCCCTGGTCCCTGGCTCAGGCCTCCTTAGCCCAGAAAAGGAGCCGAGAGTCGGGAGCGTCGCTTGGCCCCTGCGCCTCGCGACGCGGGTGGCGCGCCGGTTGCGTTATGAGAACAGTTGGACACCTCCCGCTGCAGGGAAAACGTCACCGAGGGGGATCTGACTTCTGAGGGAATTCTCTCCACGAGACAAGGGGAAGGGAGCGGGTTGCCGTTCGGTGGACAACAATGGATTTCTAGACTGTTGCTCAGGGACTGGGAACTTGGACCCCAAATTGGAACCACGTATTTAGCATAATCATTCTTAACTGAAGGGTGCACAGAGAGTACCTTCATCCCCGAAATTGGAGTGGGGTGGGGAGGGAGTGCTATCTTTTCATTTTTAATGGGCGGTCCTATAGCCACCTGATTATAGGAACCACTACGTGGAGAATTGTCGGTCTCTCATAAAGGTGATCAGAATATAATGTGAAAACAAATGGCAGTCTTTTCACTTGGTTTCCTGCATCTCAAACTGAAGGAGCCAACTGCATGAACCGGATTTTGTTTCCACTCCCATCTTGAAGTAGTGGAAAGCACTTCACAAAAGTGTGGCCTGCTGACCCCTAGGAATCCCCCTTGAACCCTTTAAGAGGAGGCTCAAGGCCATACCATTTTCAGAATCACACTAAGACACTTTCGCTAACATTTCCACTGATGGCTCAAAAGTAGTGCTAGTTAAAAACTACTCTTGGTGCCTTAGCCCAGGGCAAGGCACTAGCACCAGATTCTACTGTGGTGAGGAGAGTGTCCTTGACCAAGCAATAAAAACTATTAATGTTAATCAAACTTAGCTTTCAGTACATTTTAAAAATTTCTAAGACGAACTGAGAAGCAAGCATAAATGATTTATGCTGTGTATGGAGGTATGATTGTTGTCATGAGGAAAAGCATTTGTGAGACTGATTTGTAAGCTGCTTGTTTCATGAAATGGCACTTTTACTTGAAAAGATGACTGACAAACTATAGTTTTCACACTTGGGTATTTGGCAATGTTTTCTTGAAAGTGAATGAAATGAGTTTGTCTCCACTAGGAAAACAATTGTCAGTATTTGTTACTGGAGACAAAATTTAAGTGAAAACTAGGATTTTTAAGAAAGTTGACAGCTTGAGTTTTACAGCTTACCAGTACTTAAAAAGATTTTTAAAATAGTAGTAGTTAACAACTGTGATTTAAAAAAAAATGTATGATGAAATATGTCTCTTAAATATGGGCATAATCAAGTAAATCTATATTTTCCAAATGACTAGTGCATGATGTTATGAAAATACAAGTTACACCAGTGGATTTTAATGTAACAAGATATGAAAAAATAATTAATATGGTTTCAGATTCCAATATGCAAAACTATTCTTTAAGAAAACTATTATTTATTGGCTTTAGTATTTATCACTATTCGTTGTTAACTGAAAAGTTTATTGAAATACTTCTCTCAGCCAGGTGCGTATCTGTGATCCCAGGTCTAGGGAGGAGCATCACAAGTTTGAGGTTAGCCTCAGCAACTTAGCAAGTTTGAGGTCAGCCTCAGCAACCTAGTGAGACCCTGTCTCAAAGTAAAAAATAAAAGGACTGGAGATAACAGCTTAGTAGTTAAGCACCCTGGAGTTCAATCCCTGATGCAAAACAAACAAACAAACAAAAAAAAACCTTTTCCACTTTAATCTGGACAGTGCCAGATTTTCATTATGTACTTAACCAAAATAACATATAAGCAATAGACTGACAGCAGAAGCCGCTGTGAGAAAGCTAGTAAGTTATGTCTCCTGTTAAGGTAGATATGAAAGGATTTACAAACATGTAAAGCACTGTTACTTGTTAGTTTGGAAAGAAAATAGTGACTTTTTGTTGTAAATATGACCATGTAATGGATTTGTTTTTTAATGTACCTATAACTATTTTAAAAATTCATTTTAATTTCTAATGTGGTAAATGGTGGAAAGTTGTAACCCACATAAATATAAAAAATATTTGGGGTCATTAATAATTTTGAGACAAAATTTTGAGAATTTAAAATAACTTCAAATTGGAGAATCATTGGGCATGTCCTGTGCTTTTGCTCCCCAGATCATCAAAATCTGCCTCTGTTTAGAACCCTCTGGAGAATTTACATATGCTAGTTGGAGTTAATAATGAAAAAAGCAATGACTAGGGGAGCAGTTACAGAGCAAAAAATTATGGTTTGAGCTGGGTGTGGTGGTTAACATCTATAATCCCACATACTGAGATCTAACTGGGCTGAGGCAGGAGAATCATACAATTTAGGCAGACTCTATCTCAAAATAAAAAGGGCTGGGATGTGGCTCAGTGGTAGAGCATCCCTTGGTTCAATCCCTAGTACCAAAACAAACCCCAGCAACAACAACAAGAAACAACTTTGGTTTGAATCCTGGCTGGGTTTGTTTGTTTTGTTTTGTATTTTTTTTTGGGGGGGGGCGGGGGGGGGGATACTGAAGATTTAGCTCAGGGGCACTTTGCCACAGAGAACTATATCCTCACCCCTTTTTTATGTTGAGACAGGATCTCATTAAGTTGCTAACAACCTGACTAAATTGCTGAGCTGGCCTCTTAACTTGGGATCCTGCTGTATCAGCCTCCTGAATCACTGGGATTACAAGTGTGTGCCACCTTGCCCAGATGCTTGTGGTCTCTCTCAACCTCTGTTTTGACTTTATCTGTATAAAGTGATACTTGGGACATAAAATTGGAATGAGAATTCATTGAGATAAAGTTCATAACGATGCCAAGCATATCACAGTAAAATAAAACATTTCCAGGTGAAATTTCTATTCTCCAGATTGTTTTTTTTTTTTTAAATTTTGTTAGGGGTGGCTTAAATTACAAACCCTAGGGCTGGTTGCTAGCTTCGCCATAATTGTCAATATGGTAAAACTTTGATAGATTCTTTGGTATTCTGGTTTGTAACATAAAACCATAAATACAAGAATGTATTTTTGCACTGTAATTGAGAAGAAGAGAGAGACACTGACTAACTTATCAAGATTTAGCAGTTCTAAATGAAATTGAGGAAGTAGAAATGAAATATATCTTTATTTATTTTACATCTATTTATTTAGCAATACTTGGGACTGAACCTAGGGCCTCCAGCACACTAAGCAAGTGTTTTTCTACTGATCTATACCCCCAGACCAGAAATGAAATTTAGACAACTAGCAGTGATTAAATTTTTTCCATGGGAAATGAAAGGGACTCCTGGATATTGAACCCTCTTAAAATAGAGGAATTACTGCTTACTTTAGTTGTTAGTTTTTTAGTAAAGAGTACCTAACCTAGGGCTGGGGATGTGGCTCAAGCGGTAGCGCGCTCACCTGGCATGCGTGCGGCCCGGGTTTGATCCTCAGCACCCCATATAAACAAAGATGTTGTGTCCTCCGAAAACTAAAAAAAAAATAAATATTAAAATTCTCTCTCTCTCTCTCTCTCTCTCTCTCTTAAAAAAAAAAAAAAAGTACCTAACCTAATTAATGTTTGGGTACTTCTTGATAATGGAACTTATGGCCAGACAAGTAGAAAGTATTTTGAGTTTGGAAATCAGACAGGTTTTTAAGGTTATTTTAAACCCCATTATGACTATTTATATTTAAGATACTTAGGCTGGGATTGTGGCTCAGTGGCAGAGTGCTTGCCTCACATGTGTGAGGCACTGGGTTCAATCCTTAGCATCACATAAAAATAAGATTATTGTGTCTATAACTAGAAAAATATTTTTTTAAAGATATTATAGCAGTTAGATGCTAGGAGGGACAAAATGGGTGATGCAAAAGCTTTTTATTACATATTTAGCTATAATTAGTTTTATAGCCAGATACAGATACAACCTTACAGGTTTTCTGGAATTAGTCCTTTTTAAATCCAAAAGTTTGGTAACTTGAAAAATAAATTGCATTTATTTTTAGGATTAGCATTGCTTAGTTTTCAACCCTGGAGTAAGACAGGGTGGTATTCTTAAGATTTTTGCCTGTAGTCCCAAGTACTTGGGAAGTTAGACAGGAGGCTCACGTGAGCCTAGGAGTTCAAGCCTAGCCTGGGCAATACAGG